GGGGCACGGAAGGGCGGCGCGACCCGCTCGGGGACAGCCGGCCCGGACCTCTGCCCCAGCCCCAGGCAGTCAGCCCGCAAGGGATTCGCCCCACCCGGCCCCAGAGTCGCGACCCCGCCTCCGGCCCCAGGGCCAGGCTGCGAGGGGGCGGGGCCTCCGAGCTTGGGGGCGGGGTCGACGCAAAACTACTCCGGAGGGTGAGGGGGCTGGGCCCAGAGGAAACTACAATTCCCAGCAGGTCATGCGCTGGCGCCGTGGAGGCTGCTGGGAGAGTGGGTCTTCTTCGCTCTTCGCCAATAGTGCGGGGGCTGCCATTGAGCCGGCGTCGCTGCGAAAGTGAAGTCGCCGAGAGATGATGTTGTGAAGTCGCCCGCCCGTCCGTGCCACGCCCGGGCGGTTAGTGGCAGCGGCGGCCGCTTGGGCTGCTGCTCTCAGGCTGCCACCGCTTTAGAAGCTTCTCCCTGAGGGAGCGCGGGCGGAGGACGCAGGACGCCGGGCTGTTCCTGTGAGTAACCTTCCCGCGCACTACCCGAGCTTGCCCTTGCCAACTTCCCCTGAAGGCGGAGGAGCCTCGCCGCCCCGCGCTCCTCCCGGTCCCCGGAGGTCACGCCCGGACACCGGAGCCCGAGGCTGGGTACCGGAGGGCTGGGTCCTCGCCGTGTTTTCCCCCCGCCGCGGTGGAAATTGGGTTGTTTCCAAGTGTGGGTGCGAAGTGATGGGCGCCGGGCTCTGGCCTGCGGGTTCACCTCAGCTGCACCTCCGAGGATTGGCAGAATCTCGTCCTCTGCCGGAGAGCATCCCCGTCCCTGAGCGATGAGCGGCTTTAGTGTCAGGACGTCAAACCCTAAGCCTCGTTCGCCATCTGTGATGTGAGCGACAGGAGAGGGTATTGGAAAGAGCTTTTCCTACGTTGAGTGAGTTGGGCTTTTCTTGAGATTGATTTTGAGCCAGACACCACACGTCTTTTAAAAGCAACAGTTGGCTGTAGTTTCAAGCTTAAATAATGGATATTGGCAGCTGTCCTTTTTAGTACCCACATAAAGTTAATCTCCCGAACACTTAAAGGATTTCTGGGTCCTAATAATAGTGGCGAACTCAGGTACTTGCTCCCGAACCTTTTATTTAAACCTGCAGTTTCTGTGCAGGAATACCAGTAGTTTTTCATTGGAAATTCGTCAAGCTAGAATGGACGTAGGAATAAAATGAAATGGACTCTTCCAGTTTTTTTTTTTTAAACCTATTTCAGTAAATTTTTCCCCCACATTCAAATCTTTGCTGTAGAATTGGAAGTCTGAGCTACAGTGATCTCCAAATAGCATGTTGATGGTGGTGACGTGACACTTCAGAACAAATTGTGAAGGACATTTGGTGATGAGAAAGGGGAGGGATGAAGACGCTTTATCATCTCAGCAGTTATGCCAGTTTTCTATTTTTAAAGTTATGTTCGACAAGTCTCAAGACATTCAGCAGTGCATGGTATATGAAAGACAGTGTTTTATTATTTTAC